TTTTTTTTTTTTTTTTAATTTAATGGTCTCGCTTTTTTATTTTTTTTTTCTACAAAAAATACAACTTTGTAACCATGCATATCAATAGACAATAGTTTGTGGATAATTCTTTTAATATTTATGCAATATAATAATATAATATATTTTAATTACGATAAAAATCTCTCTATATATAATTTTCGAGTGCGCTGAGCTTACGTGGCTGCTTCTGGTATTTCGGAATCCTACTGGCGAAGAATCATGCTTCGTAATATAAATTAATCATTAATAATCTAGGTTCGGATATTTTATAAATATTATTTAGCTAACTTAGGTATTTTAATATCACTTGTACTAATATAACCATTTAATTCTTTGTAATTTTACATAGTGAGGCATTGAGTGACTAATATATTCATGACTTTTGATTTGCTTCCTTCAATTAGCTATTGAATTGTAAATGTATTTTAAAAGTTAATAAATTTTTTTTTTTATCGGTTTTACATATATAATATATCAAATTAATCATCTTTTGATGATCTTCGATTAGACATCCGTACTGTATATATGAAATAAATAAATTATATTTATCTTTATAATAACAAAAAATAATAATATTTATTAAAATTCATTAAAAAAATAAAATTATTTCTCAATTGATATATTTATGTTTAATGTAGTATATGTTGTAAGTTAAAAAAAATTATTATAATATAACAAAAGTAAGTCGCGCAAATAAAATGTGTCATACTAAATATATATTAATATATATTTTTTTTATAAATAAGGTATTTAAATTTTCAACTACTTTTTTCTCATTAATTTTAGATTTAAGAAAAAAATTAGCAAGCACCCATATAATACACGGGCGTTGTACTAGAATATATTAAAAATGAGTATTTTATTTATACTATCAAATATAAAAAAAAATAAAAAAAAAATTACTTTTTATCAGTACTCATGTAAGATAAATATCATAATATATAGAATTGATATACCTTCATGTAGAAACCATTTTTTCAAACTAATCACAAAAACGCAATAATAATAAAATTTGAGCCATTATTCATGCCAATTATATTATTTATATATTATTCTTTAGAAGAACTCACACCATGTTGATTTATGCATCAGCAAACACTACACTCATTATATAGACCTAATTAGCTAGAAAATTTGTTTAAGAAAACAACAGCCATTAATTAATTAACAATGAAACAAAACAAGTTGTTTTTTTGTGGTTTAGCAGCATAATTATTCTATTAATAATTAAATTGCTTAATAGTACATATACATGTGCACAAGATTGTGTCAAAATTCAATACTATGATTTTATAGACCTAAACCTACCTTCTATAAAATTAAATTTAAGCATTATATTCTTCAAGTTGTGACATATATTATTCAACATAAATTTAAGCATTATATTCTTCAAGTTGTGACATATATTATTCAACAACGTACCATAAAGTTTGATAGCACCATTCCATTAGACTATAGCTTCCTCTGACATTTATCATTAACATCCAACCATTTTTTCTTCTCTTTATCCACATCATAATAATAACACATCAGCTTGCAGTAAATTATAAGGAAAGGCTCAATTATAAACGTTATGGAACCATTTCGTCGGGATTTATAATTGTTAAATCATTATTAACCATCAGAGATAGTTGATCTAACAGTACAAACCCGACAAAATAATTCCGCAATGAGACCTAAGATTCTAAAGATAGCTTATCCTTAGGCTAATGGATTTGTCATAGTTTTTAAACAAAATTGCATATTTTCAATGTCAAATATCATATTTGAACTTTACACTACCCTCAAGTGGTTTTTTTTTTTTTTNNNNTAGTCTAAATTTCTCCTCAATTTCTCGCTAATTTCTCGGCGACGTTCGCCAGCGACTCCAGATTGCACCGGACGATGGTGTCGACGAAGGCGCACGTCTCCTCCGCCGTGTTTCCCGGCGGCACGTCCACCACGTACGACTCCACCACCACCGTGCCTTCACCCCCCTCCGCCGCGTGGAGGGTGGTCACCGATCGGTAGTTCCTCAGCCGGTGCTCTCCTCCGACCACGCTGAAGCCCACCGCGTGCGCCTCCTCGTCCAGCACCTCCAGCCTCTCGGTGCTCCACGCCGCCGGCAGCCCTGACGCCACCGTCACCTCCCGGACGGTCCCAACGCCGCCGTCGCCGCGGACCACGCGGCACCCCCGGACGAACACCTTGTACGCCTGCGGCTCGCCGAATCGCCGCAGGAGTGACCACACGGCGGCCGCCGGTGCGGCGATTGACCGCACCGCCGCCGAGCAGCACTGGCCCGGAGCCACGGCATGGGTGTGACGGCGGAGGACGGACTCCGGCGCCCCCACGTCCGCCGGGACTGGGCAGAAACGGGTCGGCTTAACCTGCGGTTCCTGCGCGGCGTGCTTGATGGGGTTGATGCGGTGAAGCTGAACAGTAGAGGCCATTTTTTCTTTTCTTTTATTTATTTATTTATTTATTTATTTATTTATTTTTTTGTGCTCTGATCAAGAAAATATGAGAATGAGTTGGTGATGAGATATGGGCGGTGTCATAAGAAAAAATGTGGAGGCGGTGTACATATATATATATAGAGAGAGAGATAGAGATGAAGAGAATAGAGAGATGTTTTTGTGTAGTCTTTATTGGAATTTATAAAGAAACTGTTAGTTCGGAAACAAAAGTTCGTTCGTGCTCGATAAGATATTATTTGTTTGTTAATCGAGCTCAAATAAAAAACTTTAAGCTCGTTTTATAATGGAACAAACACTTATTTTGTTGCATCACTTCTCATCACGAACTAGGTTGAACCATCTACGCCGTGAATCTCCTTCATCTTTGAGCTCCAGTGACATGCAATACATCGGGAGACGGTCATAGCAGAAAACCTCCAAAATTCAAGTCAGGACTTGCTCAAAAAATATATACGGGAATATGTAACTTCAGGCGTAGAATATGATACCTTAATGAAGAAGAACCAGATAACCGTACATATATAGGACAAGTACCGTCTCGATGTCTCCACATAGTCCTTTTTAGAAAAGATATTTTATCATATCACATTTTCTACTTTCCATGACTTTCTGGGAAGTTCTTCTGAGCAAGTGATACTGTCTCCTTATTACTATGAAATTATTGTGTCAGGTAGTCTAAGACCATCTTCACCCTTTATCTCTACTTTAGCGCGGACTTTACTCTATTCTAGAGTAGAGTGAAACATTCGTCTCCATCCCTTATCTCTACATTTTATTCTACGTCAAATATATTATTTATATTCATTTTTTTCAAATAAATTGGTATATATATGTATATTTAATCTTATATAAATGTTTATTACCAAATAAATAAAAAAAAATTGTTTTATTTATTTTTATTTCAAATGAATTGGTATATATATGTATATTTAATTTTATTACCTAAATAATTTTATATAGTATGTTTGAATGTGTTAAATATTTATTCATATGGTACTATTTTAATATTAAAAATCAAAATAAAATTATAATACATCAATAAATAAAAAGTACAAAATTATTTAGCATAAAAAATACATTACACAATGTTATTTAGCTTAAAAATACATTTATTAATGCACGTTATACAAAAATTTGCATTAATATTATATTAAAAATACACAAAAAATAAATAAATAAAAAATAAAAAATCTGGCGCAATTGCTACAATGATGCGTCACTTGTGGAGCAGCACTGTTCATTTATCTCAAATAGCGCAAAGTTGCAGCGTTGGGGCCGGAGATCAAACTATACGCAATTGTGAAGGATTACACAACTCCAACGCAGCGTTGGAGTTGCTCTAATAGTCATTCGAGTCAATCTGTCATATAATTATGTAAACAAAAATATACATAACTTATATTTTTATTATTTTTAAAAGTACTATATTTCTAATAAATAATATATAATTAAAATAAAAATACATCGATTTTATAGTTAGCCTACGATATGTTTTAATAAAAATATGTATATTTAAAAAGGAGAATAATCTCAGGCGGGAAATGCAGGTGGGGATAGCAAGTTGCAATAAAAACGTACTCTATTTTCTTAGGCAGCCGAATTTTCTAAAATGCCCCTAAAGATGGGTATAATTACGTGAGTTGCCAGTTGCCACCGAAAGCAGCTTCACATGAAAAGTTGGAACTAATTAAGGTGGTTTGGAAAATCGTGGGGCGCTAAATTTATTATTAGAGTTTTGAATTATTGTTAATGTAAAAATAGAGAAATGACACAGACCCGTTACGGTGTCATCTCTTGGGAGTTTTAATCGATAAATATATTGTAGTTTGTATAACAAAGATGATCCAACGGTTAAAACACTCGGCGGGATGGTACCGTTACGAGACCATAACATTTCTTGTAAAAATATATTTAATTATATATATAAGTTTACACATATTTAATTGTTTATACATGTTTCTTGTACTGCAGAGTATGTAGAAGAATAAGATTACTAATAAATTTTGTAATAAAATGTCATCCTTGTAGTGCAATAAAAGTATTAACTGGAATTTTGTTCTCAAATGAAGAAAAAGTCCAAATTTACTAATTACTACACTACAAGTTGACAAATTGGTAAACAAGTAGTCGTATTTTATAACCCTATTTTTCGTTAATTATGTATTTTTATTAAGAAAGTTTGAGGAAACAAAAAATTATGGCTTATCACTTATAAAATATGAAATATAACATGACTAATGCTCTTAAAAATGACCGCAAATATCTAGTATATTTATGGCTATTCCATATTAATCTAATTTTTTTCGGATGATTGAGAGTAAATTAAAATTCGTCCAAATTAAATGACCAAGCTGAAAATTTTTCACATAAGATTTTGAAGCATGAGAGACTCGGTAGACGAGAGCATTTTTTTTTCTTATAAGTTGCAATATTTTTTTTAATGGATCTTTCTTCTTCATTTATTTGTTAATTTTTTGCCTTCAAGGTTCGTACGGTTTGATATTTAATGTCGAGCTGTTGAATGAAACCCGGGTCAGGTTGATATCGACACTACAAGAAAATATTTCAATTCCAACGGCAAAAATTTTCGTTGGAAATTCCAATGAATATTCCAACAAACTTAACTTTATGTTGGAATAAGTGTTGGATGGTTGAGGAATTTCAACAGATTTTTTCCGTTGGAATAGCTGTAGGAATTTATTTCCATAAGATTTTCCGTTGGATTTTAACTATTCCAACAATCATTTTTCCCACGATTTTTTATACGTAGGAATAGCTATTCCAATGGAAAATATAAAGAATTCCAACGAAAATTCTTTATAAAGAATTCCATAAGATTTTTTTTTTGCAGTGCGAGTAGCCTGTTAAGTTGGTGGGTCTTTTATTATTAAAAAAAAAAATAAAGTAATAAAGCATTGTTTTCTACATAAAACAATATCAAGTTGTTGTAAAGTTTGGTGAAAATTATGGAGGTTGTTATATAATGGGTGCCAAATCGATAAAAAGGGAATTACTATGGGAAAATTAGCCAAAAATTAAATAGGTTTAGGTTTCATATAGAAGGGCATGAAAATATATGAATATGAATGCCGGAGACCATGGTGGTTCATTCGGCAATGCGGGAATGGAGGGAATTTCAGCTTGTTGGTGCTACTTAGTTTGTTTGTCTTTTTTCTTTTTTTTTTTTTTTT